AGCAGGAAGATTTTCACTCAAGTTAATTAAAATTTCAAGAAGTTCTCACATCCTGGCAAATGTATTTTTGCAAAAAAAAATAAATAATAAAGATTTTCCCAGAGACCAGAATGGCACCTAATTTGATAAATTAGTATTTGGAATGGGTGGTTAAGGATGCCCAACATGTATGTAAAATATCAGGGAGGAATACATATATATTCCATCTTTTTTACCTCACTTTTTATTTGCTTCTTTTGCATAGCTGTTTTTCTCAGGGGAAAAAAAAAAGCTCTAAAGCTGTCACCATGAATTTGGTTTCTGAGGATGGAACTCAGTTCGACAAACGATGTCTGCAACATTTAGGGTGACTGGTATAAGCTGGAATGCTTAACCCTTTTTTACATAAAAATCTTATCAATTGCCATTCCTTTCCTCTTTCAAGGATGACCTTTGGCTTGTTCAAATCAAGGTGGCAGAATTTTGAATCACATAGTATTTAACCAAGCTACTTTTCCACCTTAAAAATTGTGTGTGGGATGGTCCTTCAGATCCTGTTTCTCTCATGCTACCTGTTTTTGTTCCAACAAAGCAGCACATGTTATAACCATTTAAAATCTTAAGACATGAAAAAAACCCTGGAAAAAACCTCATTCCTGTGGTAGTGTCACTTTATTTACCTCCATAAGCATCTGGGGAAATTGTCTTTTCTATAAAACTAGAAAAGTTCTAGGAATTAGAAACAACACAGTTAGTCCAAATATGGTACATCACTTTTGTCCTCCCAAAAATCAATGAACTTTCCTTCTGGTTGCTTTCATTACATTTAACCTTTAGACACCACATATAGTCCTACTTCAGCTATTAACTCGGTGATTAACTCAGTTTCCTGAGCTGTATTTTGAGTATAATGTAACTTCCTACCTTGCAGGGATGTTACAAGGTACAATGTATTATCTTTTTGTGAAATTACTTCAGAGACACTTCAGAGATACAGAACTGCAAAATGTTAGCGTTTCTTTTCATGTAAGACAGGATATCCCTTCTTTTAATACTTCACACACAGAGCTTAAGGTCTGTGTGCTCCATCAAGCTGCTTACCACAAAAGGAAGAATCAGTAGGTGTTCTCCCCTAATGCAACAAGAGCTCCTTTTCTCAGCATAAGCCGAGATGTAATGGGCAAGATGGAGCTCAAAGCTAGTACATAATGAAAATTTGTAAATATAGTAGATTTTTAATATATATATAATATGATATATACAATAATATCCTTAACTGTACAAAAGAGTATAACTTCAGGCAAGTTACATTCATTTATTTGTGATCATCAAAGGTAGCCAAGAAAGTTGGGGGGAAGAAAGAAAAATTGAACGAACTTGAAAACCAAAATTGAACCAAAAAAGTCACCACGTCAAGTCATTAAATCACTACTTACAAAATACATAAAACAATGCAATGCCTGTGCCTGGTCTTGTAACAGAATAAAGCTGCTGCCAAATGAAAACAAAATTGGCTTTTGCTCCTAACAGCTAAGGCCAATAATGTTTCCTCAGATAATTTTCTGGGGATAAGTATTTATATTGTTCTAAAACATCTGATAATAATTAGACATTTATTTGCATTTTTCATAAGAGTGATGAAAGCAGAGGAGACAGAAATAGTCCACTAGAAGGGAGCTATAAGTATCTCTGTCTCTAAATAAATGAAGGCCTGATTGAACATGGGAAGCATAAAAACAATATTTAACACAGAATGTTCAGTCCATTAATTTCTAAGGGTTTTGAGTCCCCAACACTTTGCTTTGCACAACATACCACAGCTTGTGGAGCGCACATCTAATGCAGTGTGTGCCATACACTGGAAGTTTCCTCTCAGGTGAGCCACCTGCCCTTTTTGGTACTTGTGTCCAAAGGAGGAAAGACAGAGAAAAAAAAAAGGCAATATGTGGCAAGCTGCATACACGTTAAAGTAAGACTATGTCTATGTTAGTAAATTAGCAAATGGCAAAGAACATACCAAGGCAGTGGGAGGTGCTTATCTCTGCCCTGAATTGCTTGAACAGTCCCTGGCATGCTTTTGGCACCTGCCAAATAATGCTCTCCCAGACAATTTCTTAGCACTGTTTTGGTAGTTAGCCCAGGCTAGGAACAATTCCCAGTTGTCTGTTTATATGTAGTCATGACGTTTTTGAGGTTGAGAAAGCTTAATAATATGGACACGGACTGCTCTGTGGCCTCAGATGGCCTCAGTTCCTAGGCAAGTTTAATTTACTAATATAGATATTACGCAAGTGCATCATAAGCTCTAATGTCCATCAGGCCTAGCTGGAACAGATATGCCCCGTGACTTACCACCAAGAATGACTAGGGAATCTGCAGTAGGTTGCAGTTCTTAGTGAAGGACATAGAAGCCTGTAACAAAGTTTGGGCAACCAGATCAAAAGTGTAGCTAGAAACTTACTCTTTCATGCCATGCTTATCCAGACAAACTTCTCTCTAACCTTTGGCTACTGAGGACAAGAAATAAAAACTACTATATTCCAGATACAGTGTGTATCATGCTGCAAAGCAGAGAGTAAACTGACTTTGCCCTGATAAAATTGCCTATGAAGTACTCTGTAAATAGATGTAAGTATATCCAGACAGTAGGTGAAAAGGTGAAAATGAAACCATTACTATAGAAATTAATAAAATAATTCACTTGGCTAGTTTAAAAAAATATTTTTTAAATTACAAAAGGAAAGCCTAGTGTCTGTTTCAGCAATGTTTATGTTTCAATGATGACTAGTGAGACTGGCAGCCGCAAGAGCAACCAAGACTGGAGCTCTTTTGTGCTGTACTAAAGTAGAAAAAGAAGACTGCAGCCCTTGAAGGGTTTGGTCTGTACATGGAAGAAATACAGTGCATAATGATGAAAGAAGACGAGCCTGTTGAGGGTTGGCAAGACCTTCAGATTTGCATTTGTACCTGTGTTTTAGTTTAGATAGCTCAACAGATGTTGTGACTAGGAAAGTAAGCTGAGAAAATAGAGACAATATTGGTGTCATCAGCTGTCTACCCAGGCTCAGAAGACAGATTTCACAGATGTCATGACAGAGGTGAAGAAGACACTGTGCAAAGTGCTCCCCACCGGGTGACGCTAAATCTGACATGGGCTGGCAGTCAAGCAGGCAGGATGATGTGCTCGAAGCCACCAGGCAGAGAGATCTCCACCACAGCCCTGAACGTTGCAATAACAAGAGACTCCATGTTGGCTTATTCATGTCTCACATCAGGCTGGAGGTGGAGTGAAGACATCTATCCTTGTGTGAACTCACTGGCTAAAACCTTTTGAAAAGGCAGAAACCAGCAACAGCAGCTGGCTTTGAGCTCCAGGAGCAGCGATGCACTTCTGACTTACATGGGATTTAGGAACCTCTTGGGTCTTTCTGTGGCCAGTAAAGAGACTGTCTTGCTTCAAAGCATGCCTTCAGGCTGATAAAATGTTTCAGGTTATGCTATGTGAACCTATTTCCAAGGAGCCTAGACCTCAGTCATGACATACACTGGTACTCCTTGTACTATGTGTTTTGTAAATTTTCTTTTGAAAGACAAGCCACACATGCAGCTAGTGAGCTGGACTTCAACTGTAAAAACATCTGCAGGAAAAAAAAAGGTTGCTCCTGAAAGAAATAAAGAATATACTTCAGCAATTATGGTTTTCATCATGTAATCATTTATTCTCTTTTTTCGATTTGTGAGACACAAGCATTAGTACATTTCAGCATCCCTGCATAGACCTAGCAGCGTGTAGTTTTGCTCCTTACCCACTGAACACATAGATTCCCAAGACACCTCTTCTCCCTTTCCCATCTTTACTTAAACCAATCAACGCTATGGAAAATATGACCCTTGAGGTGCACTTCAGGTTCTCAGCAAAGGGAAGCGAGTCCCAGCATGCAGCCCTGGCTGGGGAGTAATGCCAGCAGGTCAGTCTGTGCCAGTGCCCTACCCAATCTCAGCGATTATGCTATGGCCATCTCTCACAAACCCAGGCCACAGGCTACGTAGATGGTTTCAGAGCTAAATTAACACCTTGAAATAAGTCCCAAGGCATTTGTAATATATCCTTCACATTGTACCCTGAACTAAAATCTTACTGTGTGTTTCAGTGGTTAGGCAAAATGATTCCTCTATATTTAGAGAAAAATTATGTCTGCCCCTAGAAAGAGGAGAGGACAAAAAACCCAAAAAACCTTCAGGGATAACCGTAATTTGATGGCCAGCGCTGTAATATGCAGGGCACGGCCAACAGCTCTGGCCAGCCAGAGAAGAGACATGTGGGTGGCACAAGGTCAGGGCGCCTCTGTTGCCTGACACAGCAGATTATGTGTCCAGTCCTCAACATACTCCCTCTAGGTCCTTGAAGACTTACCAGTACTATTGGCTGCCCAGAACAAAATTAAAATCTGTGATTTCCTCGCTCTGAAGATGTTACAAGGCTGGTTTAAAGTATTTTTTGACAGATTTAGACTCTTGAAACTTGTAAGATTTTTAATTAAGGGATACTTTGTTTCCCTTCAGGTATTTGAATATTTAAACCACTGTCAGGTAATTCTGAAAAAGTTTTCTTGCTGTTCACAAAGACAAGAAATTAATTATTTTTAAAACAGGTAAATTAAATATGAAGTTCTAACATATTTGAATGCCACCAGAGTCATAAATTTAAGAGAGATTCAGGCAACTGCCACCCAAGAAAACTCCAACCAATAAACCCACCAACCAACAAGAAAACCTGAGTTGAGCTTTCTAAGAGCATAATGACAACCAGGTGCTGCATCTCCTCACACCCTCTTGTCAGAGTGGTCCATAATTTGGTTCTTGATTGAAAGGTATTCTTGCAAAGGAAAGTGGCTCAGGAGAGGATCCTGCCTTAAAGTATGAAAACAGTATATTCAAAAGGCATCACCAAACACGACCACCACCACCCCAAAAAAAAAACCCCACCACCTAACACACAAAGAACCCAAAGACTTATGTGCATTTAAACTTCTTGTATTTGCTACCTGTCCCTGAGTAGAACTTTGTTTCTTTTAAGCCCCTCTAAGCTAAGATAGAAACTTTCAAAAAAGTAATTTACTGTGTTGGTGCATTTAACGTGATTTTGGATCATTCTGGTTGCTAAAGCAACATAAGCTGAAATTAAAGCTTTCCCTTTTGCATTCCACACCTCCTAATTTTTCTCCATGCAATGAAGTCACCATTATCCTGTACCTTTGATCTTGCAGTCATCTGTGACACTAGATTAGGATATCACAAGTGAACAATTACAACTTCACAGAATGAAAGAAAAAGAAAATTAGGACTCATAAAGCAGGGGTTTGTTTGAAACAAGAAAAAGTGAAAAAGTCTTTCCAGTTCTTACAAAGAAAATGTGCAAGCTGCATCAAAGGAAGATGGAATCATGATTTGAAAAATCATATTTAAAAGCCTTGGTAACTCTTGAAACTCTTCTTTTGACTCCTAGGGGGAGGAGGGCGAGCGTCAATATTTTAACCACCAACTACAAAATATTTGAACTAAATATAGAGTAACTGTACTTGAAGGCTGTTGTGCTTCTGTACTATTCTCGTCTTTGTTTCCCTTTTTTGTTTGTACAGGCTGTTCCACCACCAAACTTTGAGATGCCAGTTTCTATCCCAGTGTCCAACCACAACAGTTTGGTATACAGTAACCCAGTCAGCTCACTGGGAAACCCCAACCTTTTGCCACTGGCTCATCCTTCTTTGCAAAGAAATAGCATGTCTCCTGGCGTGACACATCGGCCTCCAAGTGCAGGTAACACAGGTAGGCTCTGTTCAATCCCACCCCTTTAAATGTTCTTTTATCAGCTGCTTGTGTGCCTTAGGTCACTTTAAACTGTACTCTGAGAAACAAGAACTCTGTTTTCACAGGTCATAACAGTTTGTCCAAAACTGCTGTGTTGAAAAATCAAAAGAGCCAAAGAGGTTTCTATTCCCAATTTAGAAATTTTTTTTAAAAAGTTCTAGAAAAAGCTGAATATTGACTAAGATTAAAGGAAATCAATAAAGGATAAAAGGGCAGACAATTTGCTGTTTCATAAAAAGGCAGCTTGTCTACTTAATTCATGCAAGAATTCACTATACCATAAAGCTTAAGGGGGCACGGGAGAAACTGTAGCCAACACAAACAAGTTGAAGCAAGTAAAATAGGACACTCGTTACTGAAGTCATCAGTCTAGAGGCTAAATGCAGAATTTATTATTGTTTATGCATTCACAGGTTCCTCGATGGGTAAACGTTAGCTGAGCTCTTTACTTGAGTGCCTTGTATAGCAAGAGGCTGTGCTTTGCTCTGATGATGAGGAGGGCTCACCTCTGAATAGGATAAATGGGGATTAAGTTCATTCAATCTGTCTGGCTGAAGCAACATCTAGATCATTACGTATAGCAGGCTGAAAGAACCATTTGAGGTCCCCAAGTGCAAAGACAAGTTTTAAAAATCCTTGGAGTGAATGTCTGTGAAAGGCTGAGGAAATTAAAATTAAAAGCTATGTTATAGCTTCTGAGTTACATTCTCATACAGGAACTTTCAGTCTCTTCCTCCCAATTCTATGTGGAAGCCTTTTCTTTTCTGACTAATACTGAACTAAAGATAGTTTTAAAATGAAGGACTACTATACCTAACTTTCAAATATAATTATTTTTCATGTGCTGTGGAAGTATGAAAGTAAAATAATCAAATGTTGTGTACTACATATTTTACTTGTCCTTGAAAGGCAAGTATCTTGTATGGGTAACATGAAACATTACAATTTTATGACTATGGGTCTGATCCAATGCCTGCTGAAATCAGAGGAAAGCAGTTGGTGGGTACTGCAGCAGGCCGTTTGAAGTTAGAGAAAATGTTTTGAATGTTTGCCTGTTGTAATTTATCGTGCTCATTTGTAGTATTTCATTTCAACCCCCTAGGTGGCCTGATGGGTGGGGACCTCACAACCGGTGCAGGCACCAGTGCAGGTAAAGAGAAAAGAATTTATGTTTATTTCTCTAAGTTAACAAAGGACTTCCTTCAAAGGCTGAGTCCTAAAATAGCTCTGTACTGGAGGTGGGATATTAGAAAGTGATCGGCATCAGTTTATTTCCCCCAGGTGGGGGTAAGGGAGTTGGTATTTGTGCTTCTCTTATTAGTTAGGAAGAGGCTTGTTCTCAGTAATGTTGAAAATCTTGCACCTCAACAAATTTCACAGATACAAATGCCTGTTTTCCTTCACCTTAGGCTTTCCTAAGGTGAAAACTTTTGGGTCCATTGTCCAGCCCTGTTCAGGCAAAACTCCAACCGAGGCCAGTGTGAGAAACCCTGATCCTTTTTAAGTCACAGGGAGCTTTTCCATTGACTTTAGTGGAACTGGGGTTTCGTTTTATGAATTTAAGCTTGAGTAAAGGTTTCTACATTGAGTCTTTCATTAGACTCCAATCTACTGAGGACAGATTTGATTTCCAGCCCCTGCTTTAAGACCGTTGCTAGTCAGCAAAATCTGTTAGCATTTACTTAAATAATCAGTAATTAACTTAAGCTTAGTTTTATGTATTTACTTAAGTGCTTTGGTACACAACAGGGAGAGGATTTTCAGAATACCCATGCAGAGAAAAAGATTAGCCCCTTTAGTTGTACTCTCATAGAACTAATGAGAACTGTACTTACTCAGGTCTGTGTTATCAAGGCAATGTTGTCATAGTAGTCCCCTTTGCTCAGTAAACTCAGTGGTTTGTTAGCAATGTCAGCAATGTTGCATTATTACAAATACAGATTACAAAAGACAATGGCAAGATTACTGTTTCAGTTTGAGAAGTAAACACATATGTTTGAAAAAAATAAGCTGAGTGGTACAACATGCAGCACATCCAATTTTACCGGGTTAACTGCTCGCAGAAAGAACTGTGTGGAAAAATAGTTGGAAGATCCATTTTGTGCACTATAAACCAAGCCTGATATATATGCCAATTCTGACATGGTCTCGTAAAATTACTTATAAAGAAATTCTGGATATAGTGATCTTTTCTTTCTTGGCTCTTCTTAGCCTTCGTTAGACCACCCCCTTTTATCTTCATGCATAGATGAGTCACAGATGTTTGTGTGGTGCATTTGTAGTAAAATTGAAACTGCACAGCATTGTATCAGAAAGGCACTTTAAACGCATGCTGAAGCTCTGAGGGGTCATTTTGTATTAATTTAGGAGTAGGGAAGGCAAACCACGGGAACTTAGCTATTAGTCTCCTTTGTTCTCAAAAAAAGAAAGCATGATAGAAAATTACAGTTTTGTTAATTATCTTTTGTTAGCCTGCGAAACACAGCTAAAGAAAGATTCATTCTGGCAATGTTCACATTTCATCTCACTTTAACCTCATGTGGAGTAGAAACTTCAGGAACGGCAGTGGAGGGACTCGGGTAGGAAATTGATTGCCCTATTAACGGGCTCCCTCTACTGGCTCATTAAGAAATATCATTGTTTCGTTACTGGTTTCCCTGTTCCTTTAAAGAGACGCTGGAACGCAATTAGTAAAGAAGGCAATGTTTTCTTTTAACAGGCGCTCATTCTAAAATAAAAGTTCCTCGTCACATGCATGTGGCTTAATAATCCTTGCACTTAATAAAATCTGTATATCAATATGCCAGTTGAAAATTTATATTCTTTGTAAATACATTTTTTTTTCTTGGAAATATATTAAAAGCATATATAAGCGTAGGAAGAGGAATAGCTTGATTATTTACTCACAAATTAAGAATTTGTATTTCCTGGGCGCAGTGTTATGCATTAAGCTCTCAAGCAATGTAACTTTGGAGTAGGCAATTGATTTGAGGAGCATATATATGAGGGGCATTGCTAGGAATGCATCATAAATATTTAATCTTATGAATAGTCTTTGTTCTTTATCTGGCAATAAGAGCTTTAAACACCATTAAAGAAGTGTTTTCTAAATCTCTTAAATGCAGAGCAGTAGGAAGAATTTGATACAGGGCTGAAGAAAGATGAAAAGGTCACTATAAGGTTGAATCCTCTGTCTTAGTTGCATCATTCCACAATGGCACTATTTTGGACAGTCCTCTTTTTTTATGGTGCAGAAGAATAAACATCAAAAGTTCTCTTTGTTCATCATTCTTCACAAGAAACAGAGACCTCTGTGTTTTTTTCTATTTGGCATCTTGAAGCTGATAGCATGATCATGTGGTTTAATCTGTTGAGGTTCATATTTCTGGCCAAATTAGAACATTATGAATTTGCATTTTTCTGCAGTGTCCAAAAATAGCATGTATTCAAAATAACATACTCCAGGAAGAAGACTCTAAAGAGTTTCGTTTCTGCCATTATAAAATGAAACTAATTTTGATTGCTAACACCAGGCCTCAGTTTCTGCACTACTTTAACAAATTACATTATAACAAATTACATTATAACGGCAATATCAGAAATGGAAAAAGATTAGTTAAGCCTGTGTTTTGAAAAATATGTTATTTTGTTGGTTTGGATTTTTTCAAGTAATACCCCTGAAATCATCCACAATTTACCTTGGGAGTCAACCCAAGACATAAATAGAACTTTAAAAAGCTGACTATTTCTTTATTACCCTACACAACTAAATACCATCGGTGGTATTTTTAAGTTAAACCAAGGTTATCTCAGGTTTGTTAAAGTAAATTTGTTCTTAGCCAAACACTGATTGAATAGTTTCTATCATGTGATAGCAGCAACTGCCAAGAAAATTGGAGTGAATTTCACATTTAGTATAGTTGCTAAATTATAAATATAGCAATGTCTTTGGCACTATTCTCTCAAACCAGAGGCTTTTGACTGAAAGAGCGAACAAGAACTTTTTGGATCCAAATTGGTATGGTCTAAAACCATTCTAGCTTACCCCATAACTAATATGAAGACTAAGTGAAACGTTACCTGTTTACATAATAGACTATGTGAAGTTCTTTTCATTTTTAGGGACCATAGTCTTTGACAAAACCACTTAACAGTAACTTGACCAAAAATAAACAATGTCTTCGAAGTTTTAGTACTGTAAGTTATGTGAACTCAAGTTGTATTCAGTGGCTCAATATTTTTGTTGAAAGCCTGATAAAAGATTGAAACTTCAAAAATACTTCAATAGTTTTAAAATCAAAATACAACAGTACTGGGGGACGTCTTTCTTTGCATCTGTACTTTAAACTTTTGATTTTCAAACTGAGTTATATTTTTAGATTGAGTTATATTTTTCATTTTTCGTATGGTTTTCAGATTATGACATTTTGTATTTTATAATTAAGTTTTATTTTGAATGGAATAAGCCTATCTAAATCAACAGAATTTCTTTATGTTTTAAACCACTATAAGTAATAAAATTGAAGGGAAAATTCGAACTTAAGTTTTAAATCTAGGATGGGTATAATAAAAAAATACACTGCTTTAATTGTTTATTCACTTCCTGTAATTTGTTTATTTCACTATTTCATTTTGGTACTGTCTCAATCTTAACATTAATATTAAACTGAAGGAGCAAGTTATTCAAAAGTACTTGGGACTCTACAAATGCTGTCAGAGGGGCTAAGTGCTTGGTTTTTAAATCAAGCATCCTCAAACTACCTTTAAAACCTGTTCTTTAAAATTATTAGAAACTGAAAAGATCAGTAGAGCATTTTGAAAAATTCATCCCATGTCTTTTCAATAACTGAATCCCATATTTACCTATAAATCAGCAGCTAGTCATTTCCTTCAGGAAATTAACCACAAGCTAACAGTTGCCTTCTCATCTTCTGATGGCTGAGGTCCTGGGTCTGCGAGCCAATATCATAATTTGCTAGTGCTTTCCTGCTCCTTTTTCTTTTCTTGGTCATGTACTGACTGTGGGCGAATATTATATATTCTACTAGTATTTCAAGCCACATGGGAATATATGTAATAGTAGGGGGGTGTTAATTTACAAGCCCTCAGGGTAGAGGCAATCGTCTCAAGAGTGATTTACTAAAAAGAAGCAATCTGACCAAATAAGTCTACAAGCAGTACCAAAAATAAGCAAGGGTTCCAAAGACATCTAGTTGCATTAGTGTCTTTTGAAACTATAAATACAAATAAGCAAACTAATACTGAAAATAAAAAATAAAAAATTGAAAGGTTACATAAATATTATCCAATGTGCCCTGAAATCATGCTTGGCATAGTCAAGGGAAGATAATTCTTAGGCTACAAGTGTGGAATATGTTAAATAAACAAGCGAGCTTAGAACAACGATTCCCAAACCACAGTTTACAGGCAACCTGTTAGGATTGGGTTTGCCAAGGAAAGCATGATGAGTCGTTGCCCTTCCCTTATTACTCGATGAGTGCAGTCTCCCACAGACCTCTGATCCAAAGATTGGGCAAGATGCAGTACAAAAGTATAGTAAACAATAGTTCCTGTCCAAGGAAGTTTACAGTCCAAAAGAAAGAACATGCAGTCATTCATAACAGAGTTTGTGATGCAATAGTGCCAAATCCAAACAGTAAGAAATCATAAATTAGCAGGTTGGCTTAAAACCATGAGGGGGATAAGAAATGGAAAACACAACAGCTGTCCTTTTTCCTCTTTTCTCTTGCCACTCATATTATGCCATTAAGTGTTCCTTTTCCAAACTTTCCTCCATGTAAGATGGATATATGCTTTTTTTTTTTCAGTGTTTTAAGGGAAGTACCTGCAGGTCGGAGATTTGTGATAAAGCAGGAAGAACACTAGATCTTGCTCGACAGCTCTAATACATAGTATGAAGGAAACAGTCTATCTAACAGTACCTGAATTTCATATCTGTGTCAGCAGTCAATGCAGGCCTTTCCAAAATTAAGTCCTATTTCTGTCCTAAGCAACTGCTGTTTTATACAGCTCATTCAGATTCTTTTCATATAGGTAAAAATCACATCAGTGAAACTTTGAGAAAAAGTTTGGAAGGATAGAAGCTACTGTCCATGTCAAAAAAATCAAAAAAATCTTGCAATGGGTGTC